CCACCTCGCGCGTGATACACAATCAGGATTAATGGGTAGCGAGGGTCAAAGTGGAAATCGCAGCCAGCCTCCCTTTCTCATCTCCCCGACTCTCTTTTTTTGGGGGGGGATCGTGTGTAGCTTTGCCCTAGGTCTAGGCTAGATCCTATGTCCGCGCGAACGGCTGTGTGCATCTCTCTGCCTTCCTCTCCGCCCGTGCGAGTGTGTGTGTCCATCACTTGCGTTCTTTGTGTTTCTCTTGACACACTCCACTGTTGCGGTGTAAACTGTGTTCGAACTTTGATGGGTCAACATGAAAATATTGACTGCCTTGTAAATGAAGCGTGCTTGAAGCTGAAGTTACCGTGCTTATAGGCGTGTAATTTATATAGCAAAAATTCGGTAAGAGCCGTTTAGCGTGCTTGAGTCTGAAACGTGCTTAAGGCTGGCGTGCTTATAGCCGGCACAGACTGTACTAAAATTTTCAGTATGGTTTGTAGAATACATCCTGTAAGAGGCGATAATGTAACACAATTTTGATTGGATGCTGAAAAAATTTGAAAATAAAAAATTAATAATCTTTGGTGAAACTCAAAAAATATGTTTGCACCAAGTCAAATGATACATCAAAATAACCATAAATGAGAATACAGAACAGGAAATTTACAGTTATTTACATACATTCCATTATATAAATTTGTACATTTTGATCATAACATCCGATATTGAAAATTTAAAAAAAATATTTTTTTTGAAAAAAGGATCACAAACAGAAAAAACCACTCGTATCTTACATGGAATTATTCAGAATTGCATTTGGACTAAACCTATACATGTCTTGAGTGGTACTTTTTGTGTAATTTCACGAAAAAGTAGTCATTTTGGGAAGAAAAAAAACATTTTGACAATTTGAATCTAGAACTAGATCTAGCACTCAAAAATATTGATTTCTCTTAAAAGTGCATTGGCAATTTGAGTCCAAAAGTATCAATATTATAAAGAAGAGTCCTACATTTCTTTAGTGAGAAAAATAATGATACATTTTATTGTATAAAAGTACTTAGACTGGTGTCTGGGCTATAATTTGGGCATCGCAATAAAACAAAGTCGCATAAAGTACGAAATCGCGTTTCAAAACTGAATCTAAACTTCCGATTTTCTGTAGAAATGCTTGACCCGGAAGTCAATGTTATAGTTATATTATAACCTTTATTTTAACATGGATATGTCGATTAGAATAAAATCAAAGCTAGAATTATAGGTTGATTCTCGAGCCGCCGGGGGCGGCTTGGCGTACAGTAGACACTTTCGCCACGCCGTTGCCCACGGCTCGGAGAAGCGAATGAGTTAAAGCTCACATCTCGACTGTTATCATTACAGTAGTCTCTGCCTAAACGCACACCATACAAAAGCATGTTCCGCTCAAACGCACGCTTTTGTCATCTGACGGATCTTTTACTATAATATAATTTAGACGTATAAACGCACGGTCACTCCTCTAAATGCATGCTCCGATACGCGAAACACGCCGACAGGTAAAGCTTGACAAGGGGAAATTTTCTCTACAACCTGCACAGCTTGCATATAAGACAAGCTTACACAACTGGATATTTGGAGAACTGTCCCTCACGCCGAACAAAGAGAGCGATGGACAACGTTTTCACACCCAACCTTCCAAAGACACATATAGCTCTAGGTCTCGGTCAATGGCTGATCGGTGAAATGTTAGGGGGGGGGAGGGGGTTGGGGGACTGAACAGTTTTTTGATTGGTTGTTGGAAATGCATCTTTGAGAGAAGGTTTTTGACTGGTGTTTGGGTGACTGCATGTAATGTTTAGTTAAGACCTCGGCCTGATGTGCAACACGCGTGAATGTTGTAAAACACTAGACAGGCCTCTATAGGATTTAAGATTAGCCAAGTAAGCCTAATCAGCTGCACTCAAAGAACTTATATTCTTATACATACTTGTTAAATGAATCACAAGAGAAATGTTTCTCTGAATGTAGAGATCTATGATATTGATTTTGATGCTGTCCATGAATTTACGGTTGGCGTGGTCGCTTGAAAAGCCACGTGGCTGAGCCGTTGTCTCTAGGACTATCTCCAACAGTTTCCTCTTAGCTATCTGTTCCCGACATTTTATAGTGCATATTCATTACATTGAGTCTGTCTTTCTCCCCCCCACCCTCCTTCCCCACCATTCAATGTCTTTGCCTAACCGTAGTCGGAGAATCTTTTACAAAACAGTCACGTGTCGTCACATTATCGGCAAAAGTGACCGCCACCCCAAGTGGAGGTCCCTAGAATATCAAGGCAATGAAATTACAGCGTCCCTTCCTCCCTTAGCAAAGATTTATGTGAACACACGATCCGTATAACACACGCTAAGAGCCCTTCCTAGCACCGTGCGTTTAGGCTGAGACTACTGTATAATCGAACATTTTTTTCTATTAAAAAAAGGCGGCTCTATTTCTCCGAACGTTCAGGAAAATGAACTTAAACTTTACTTCTCTTTCTTGATAATAAGGGAACGGAGCAGCCCATGTGTGTGTGTGTGTGTGAGTGTGTGAGTGTACATGTGTGTGTGTAAGGTGTGAACGGGGGGTGGGGAGAGGTGGGGGGGGGGGGGGGGGGAGAGCGTGGAGCAATTTTTTTTTTACAAGAAGGATTTTAGTTTTTGCTGGGTGACTAAATACAAAATAGGTTACTGCCAAGGTCGAGCAGTCTTGTTTTCTCGCAGTACCTTTTGAAGGTACTTTCAAATGAAGTAGTCCCAACGCTGCCCCAACCACAACTGAAGTATCTGAATATTCAGACATTTACAAATCTCTAGCTCTTAAATTGAATTCCATGTAAAAAATGCTTCCTCTCAGTCCTTGCAAAATGGCAGAATGAAAGGATCTCGCAAATAACCAAAAAATCTTGAGATCAGAAACCGTTGGGAGAAATAGAGTTCAACTTTATTTTCCCGAGCGTTCTGAGAAATAGTCACTTTGTAAATTAAATGCTGGCAATATTTAGGAACAAGGGTCGGAAGTCGGAACGGATGTCATACTGGACTCATTTCAGAGTCCGAATATAATTTTGTCTTAATTGGACTCAAGTCACTTCGTTATATTATCATATTAGATCTAGACATAGATCTAGATCTAGATCTATATTATGCCGTGCCGTAGACTGATCTGTGACATTCTGTCTGCTTTTGGCTGACTGAGTTCTGAAAAACCACCTGTCCAGCCAAATAATTAATATTTTGTTTGATTAGAGTGAGCCAACAGGGATGAGGACACATTTAGATTAAAGAACCCATGTGAGGACCGTTACCAAAGAAAAGGTCAAAGTGAAAAGTACTTTTCGGGGAGGACTTTCGAAACGTAAGTCGCGTAGATCTAGATTCTAGATCTAGACTCTAAGACGAGGTCTCACCACTCCTGCCTAGGTTGACTTGGCTTCTGTTTGGATGGCACTTGTCAAGTTTGCCTGTCAGTTGATCAAAAGATGAGAATTAATAAAAAACGATTACAGTAACACGCAAAGAGCATCATAACGGACGAGGTGAGTGTGAGTGAGAGAAGAGTGAAAGTTGATAAGGAAGACCGGTAACTCTTATTTATCGGTGGCGTGGACCAAAAAGTCTCCCAGATCAAGAAGAGCGAAGCGGAAATTCCCGAAAAACCTAATATTCCAGATTTTTCTTAAATAATAATATTTGGCTGATAAACATTATTATTTCTTCCACGAAGTCAAATAATAGAAATAGATCTAGCCTTTATCAATTGTCTGAATTTGAAAAAAGTAATCAAACCAGCAAATACCTAATTATTATTGTGTTTTGGGGGGGATTTTGGGGTAAAATTTTCATTTTAGGCCTAAGCTTTCGCTGAAAATTTAATTAATTTGACAGCCATTGGTGGTATTGCAATAAATCTGGAAATAAGGAGAGAAAAAAAAACGAAAGTAGGCCTGACATGCTGGTCGACAATGTCGATTCCCTCGACGTTGACAACCAGTTTTCTGTCTGCAAATAATACAAGACGAAGACAAGCGTGTCTTGTAGTCTCGAAATTTCTGCACCTTAGCCATGCATTTTATAAGAAGGGCCAAAGGTCAAGCTCGAACCAGTGGCTTGAGAGACAGAGAAGAGATCCGTTTGTAAAACAAGCTGGGAAAGAGAATTATCGTTGTCGGAGTGCGTTCAAGCTTCTGCAGATTGATGACAAATACGGCATTCTCAAGCCCGGGCAGGTGGTTATAGATTGTGGTGCCGCACCAGGGTCATGGTGCCAGGCTGCTGTGCAGAAAGTCAATTCTTTAAATCAAGGTGCGTGTCAATCATTATGCTTCGGCCACCTAATCTATATTCTCACCCCGGCACCGGTGATCTTGTAGTTCCGTTGTTCGTTTAAGTCCACAATCCATTTGTTTACATCCAGAGAAGAAATCTGGAAGTCTTGATGACCAAATGGGCAACTCAAAGAACAGGGATGCAACCTCTGCCAAACATCAAATTATGGCTTGCCCCCCCTCCCGAACGCTACTGCAGGGGATGTGTGACTGGCTGCCGGCCGTACCATTCATTGTTTACACACTTAACGATGGCAGGCCTCTCTTCCTGCACACAATAAATTATGGTTCAAGGAACAGAGCCTGTACAAACATCACAAGCAAGAGTCTGCTCTTGCACGACGGTGAAAAGGTTGTTCCCCATATTTACAAAGTATTCAGTCAAAATGGGTGAGGGCGTTAAATTGTGTTAACTACCAGGCTCTTCCTCAATAACTTCTAAACTATTCAAGATATCTTCATGAAATTTGTACTTAATTGACTCAATATATACTCTCAAACTCAAAAAAACAGAATTATGCTATGATGTCACACCTTTATGCTATTGCTGTTTACATCATAGAAGCTAGGGTACATTGTCGCCAAGAAAATTGCGTCCAGCAAACCTATGAATGTGCGCATAAATAAAGCAAAGAGCTGCTGTATGAGTTCCTTACTGCAGAGGGAGCTACGCCCATTGATATTCATAGAGGCAAATGAAGCGTGTCTGTGGTGAAGCATGTATAGATGTAAGTACTGTTTGAAGATGGGCAAAGGAATTCACTGAAACCAGTCCAGCAGCGCGCAGAGACAGATTTGCATGACCAACGATTGCAATTCAATGAATCAGGAATCACACACTACACACTCTCCTCTCCTTTTACTTTTTGGTCTAGCCTAGGGCTATGGCCTATACGCTCTCATACTGAGTGTCTAAGCTACGGCACATCTCTTTTGGAGTGGCTCACCTAACGCGTCTCTCCACACTATCTCTCTGCTGCCTGCCCCACCTCACTCATCACTGGACTGGCCAATCACAATGCCGCATCACTGACTGCCTGTTTGGAGCCTGCCTACAGCCCCCAACTTGCTCTTTCCCCCCCCCCCGTTAGAGCTCGCTCAATCTCTCCCTCTGTATCCGAGTTCAGGTCTTTCTTTGCCCCGCTGAACCCGAGCACAGGTAATTGAATTTACATTTAGGGGGGAAAAAGGGATGCCATTAAGGTCCCACTGTAGGCATGGTCCCGCTCCTGCACAATGGGAGGCAGTCTTGGACAATTTTGACTTTATATTATTTATAACAGTCGTAGGCCTACATGGAAAGAATAGCAACAGTTCACATAACACGTGAAAGAAAGACATAGTAGTCGTCAGTATTTTTCCTGTGACTTCTGTTTGTTTTTTCTTTTGAGTAATTTGAGCCTTCTATTGTGTGTGGCTGAAGAACAGAATGATGCCTATTACTTTTTCTGCTGATACTATTGTTGATGTGGTTGCTGCTACTACCACTTTACTGATGATAAGATCTTACTCCTCCTTGACTTTGAAGGCTTAATGTTACCCTGTGCATGTATGTGTACTACCATGACCTTTGTGTGCTTCTGCTACCACTCTAACATGTAAATTCTGTACCATAATCTATAGAAGAATACTTCTGGTGTCGCCTACCCTTGCATCACTTTTTAGAAGAAACCACACACTCTTCAGCCTTCAAAGTGTAAAAGAAAGTAACATTATATCCGTAAAAGCATGACTGAGCGATATTTTCATAATTTTGTGCATAAGAATTTATTAAGTTGTAGGTTTCAATCACTATGTCATTATAAAATGTTCTGGAATTGAACCATTGCTTTCCACTTCCCCTTTAAAAAAAATTGTGAGCGTCCACTCTTCAGTTTTGGTTTAAAAGTCACATGTGTGTCGGAGTAACACTGCATTTGGTGAGTCGCTGGGGTGTCCTTGAGCAACACATGATAATTCTAGCTCAAAATCAGGGTGTTGCACTACGGCGACCAGCAATGATGTATGAACTGTCTATATTTGTGATATTGTGTATTATTCGCATATATATATTATAATACAATCAAACACGGGTAACTCGAATTTGTCTGGGATTGGAAATAGTGTTACAGATTTCTTTAATTCGACATGTCCATGAAAGCCCCAGATACAAAGAAATAGAGGTAAATCAAGGGAGGTAAAAAAGAACATTAAAACAATTAATGCGGTCCTTTGATGAGCATGTTGACGGTGTGAAATCAAGAAAATAAATGAAAGTGGCAAGAAGAAAATCTCACGTGTGCACAGCCGACTCCTACGGTATTCCTTTCCTCTCATTTCATTGGCTTACCAATGTTACGCCTCTTGCCATCCGCACCGCGCACGTCCCTCAGCATGATTGCACGCGTGGCGAGCCAGTCATGTGGTGCGGTCAGCATCACTTCTCAACCCCCCTTCCCCCTTCCCAATTCCTCCAGCCTCTCGTGGTGAGACAAAGACCACATTTTGGCTGTAACAATAGCGAAGAAACAACTACCCACAGCGGGAAAGGTTGTAAAACCAGGTCTTTAGTTGAGAATGCGAAGTCGATTTGTTCGAGATTCGAGTGTTGTGTGTTCCGAGTGTTTGGGAACCCTGTGAAGTCAATACAAAGAAAACAAAGGGGCTGAAACGGGACCAAGCATTATTTTCGAGATACCTGAGAATTCGTGATTTTCGTGACTATATTTTTGTGGCTGTGAAGTTGTGTATCTATGTACACTATTGTAAAACAAATTTCCTATGGGGGTCAATTAAGTGGAATTTTTTTTTTTTGAGTAGCATAAAATCAAAATCATGTGAATTAAAATAGTGGTATTGTCTTTAATAAAAGACTGCAGCACTGATTGATTTGCCCCCAGAGGACTGTAATTGTAATGTTAATTGTTTTTTTAAATTGAGACGGGGGTTGGTAAGAATTTTATAACGCACACAACTACATAAAGTCATATGAGGTCAATGGTAATTTTGACCAAGCGTTTCATCCAGGGGAGTTCTTTTGAAGTAGTGTGAGTATGAATGTTCAGGGGACTTACAGCTGTGTAAATTAACACTGTAATGTCCACTTTCATTATCCACAGACTCTTCCCAGCCTCAAGGTATGGTGATTGGAATCGATTTACAGCATATAGCCCCTCTGGATGGAGCAATCACCCTAAGCGGTTGTGACTTCACTTCTCCTGACACCTACGACAAAGTCAGCAGCATCCTCCAGGAGAGACGAGTGGACATCTTGCTGAGCGACATGGCACCGAGTGCCACGGGGATCAAATCCCACAACCATGAGCTTATTGTTGGGCTTTGCTTCTCTGTCCTGCGATTTAGTCTGGCTGTGCTGAAGCCAGGGGGGACAATGCTGTGCAAACTATGGCAGGGGGGTAGCCAAGACAGACTGGCCGCAGCGATGAGGACTGTGTTTCAGGATGTCCGAGTGGTCAAGCCCGAGGCCAGCCGTGATGATTCTGCAGAAGTCTTCATGATGGGACGAGGTTTCAAAAGTAAAAAGTCAGACGCTGGTTCGTGACGAAAGTTCCTTTTGATTTCTGCTCTTCCAAGACTTGAAAACTGAATGAATTTCATGGATCTGACTTTTTCATCAATGGATTGTGGGCAATTCCATTGTAACTGACGTGGCATTCACACATAATTTTGAACAAAGTCATTAATCTCAAAACCAAGATAAACTTTTAATCAACTTTAAAGGTATCAGGAACTTTCCAAACTAATACAAATAAAAGTATAGAGGCTGTTTTTTACATCTTGACTCTATATTGCATGAATTATTATTTTCAAGATAGAAGAATGTTTACTGTGCATTAATTTTGTCTTGAGGATAAAGGAAATGCATTCTTATAAAGCTGTTTCAAAATATTTTGACTATTGTTACATAACATTGGTATGTTGCCCGAGTGCAACACCATACACCTAAGGCTAAAGTTTAACACCAGATAGGAAAGAAAGAAATACTGGTAGTTTTCATGATTCATTTGCAAAAACATGTAATTTACCATAAGGCCTACTTAAAAAGGAATTCACATTTAAAAAAGGCAAAACACTCTCATGTTCAGTTCTCATGAACGTTTTTGAAGCAGTTGCTTGAAAGAGTGAAGCAGAAGTAGGTGTTGCACTTCTCTACTTTTGGAGTGCCCTTGCATGCTGGATACTTGCAACGTCTTTTATTGGGCCCAAACACGGGCCTGTGTCCTGCCGAGTCAGTGAGGATAGCATGGTCAGGGAGAGGAGCCATCGGTCTTCTCTTCGATTTGGCTGCCAACAGGGTGTCAACAGAACAGGACGGACGGCCATGCTTTGTTTCGGCCACCACCTTTCTCTCGCTGGTGAGGCTCCTAGCGACACTATTCTTGAAGCCAAGAAGATATAGCAGCTCCTTCTTGCTGCTTCCAAAAGCCTCTGCATGCCTCTAGTAGAGCAGCCATCCTTGCATGAGGGCAGTGTCGGGCAGGTGCCAGAGGGTCCGCTGGTACCAATTTTTGGACCTCACAGGTTGGCGTTGTCTCCAAGTGGGGCGTCTGTCAGTCTTCCCTTTTGAGGTTGATTGCTGATCGGGGTCTACCTCATCGCTGCTATCATCAGAATCTGTTTTTACTTTACTTTATCAGTCTTCTTGTACCTCTAGGGCGTCGAGGGGAGAAAGAGCTTCCTGTCTCTAGCAAGTTTGGTGGCCTGGCTGGTTGGGATATTGTATGTTCTCAGGGTATCCTTCGCACCCTGGATCCAGGTCTTTATTGGTCTTCCTCTTGCCTTGTACCCTGATACTTTCCTGTAGTAGGCTTTACTGGCAAGCTGGTTAGGTGCCATGCGTGTGATATATATTTTTTCAATTCAATTTTTAAGGCTGGAGAAATAACAATATTTATTAGACAAGTACGTTTTGTTCCACGAAGGCAGAGTTTGCCTGTGGTGAATTCTCCAATCTCGTTTATTATGTCTGTGAAATGACCCACAGTTTTTATAGCTGTATAGCACACTACGAATAAAGAAAATTTGATATCCTTCTCCATTTCGTTTTGGGATGGTCCTTTACTTTTTTCTCTAGGAGTTTTTTTAACGTTCAATTTCGCCTGATTGTGCTGTACTGCTGTTTTATGTTCACCCGAACGTTCATGTTTTTTTAGACCGGATTTCTTTGGTAACATCGGTCTCTTGTCCATCAGGAGATTTGCGTACCCATGGAAAATTTTTTTAAAACGCGCAAACAAGCACATATCATTATCCAAAATTCCTGGAGGTTTCTAGAACATGAGGCTTCATTTTCCATTCATTAGAAATAAAATGTGCAGTCACTGTCATGTATCCCGGTTCTTCTTCTCTTCATTGTAACAGTCTGGTAATAGGTTGGTGCTCAGTTTTGTGCCTCTGGGAAGTGGATCAAGAGCTTTTGAATATCTCTGAAACTGTATGTCATCAACAACTGAAAAAGGTTGTAAATCAGTTGTAATCATCTCTAGAAGGATTCTGTCTAGCTCTTGGCGTCAAGGGGATGACACATCATAAATTTTCCGACTCTCGACAGCTGCAGGAAGAGTAGGCTGAACCAAAAGTTTGTTAGGAGCTTGGGTTGTTGGTTTTGCTTCTGCTAATGCTGCTGAGGAAGAAAGCACGTCTAATTCTACAACATTGTAAACATCTGAGGGCGCTGTGAATTCTTTCCTCTTTTTGCTCTGGACTTCACCTAGTTGAATGGGATGCCTGCTTTTTACATGAGTAAGAGGAGATGAGGTGCTGGTTTTATATTTCAGGTTGGCTTGACACACGTTGCATGTAGCAATGCCTCCTTTAGCGGAAAAAAAATGACCGCACGATACTTTTGTGAGCAGGTGCCATAATTGTAGGTAATCAGTCAAGTCAAATGAAAGAAAGATTCGATGAGAGATGGGCTGCTGATTGATGTCAAGTCAGATGAAAGAAAGACTGGATGAGAGATAGATGTAGGCTACTAATACTATACTAATTGATGTGCGACTGTTGGAACAAAGGCAACACTGTTCCAAGTGTTCGCCCATTGGCCGCTAGGCCAAATTGTTATTGTATCAGGATTTGTAACCAATAGAATTTTAACTATTATGGAAAGTCTAGACAGAGCCGAGCGCCCCCCCCCCCCCCCCCCCCCCCCCACTTCCACCTCAAAACCAAACACGTAAGCGACGTCACCGTCCGTGTCTTGCGAGCCCGACTTTGTGAAAGGAGAGAGCCACTGATGCCTCACTCGATAAACTTGATAAAAACTGCGACGCCACCTAGCATCGCTACTATCGGGCCCTCAAGTTCGAATTTAAATTATTTATAAAGCCGGTTATGACCTAGAAGGCTCTATGTACTATGGAGACTACATTATAAAATGAGCTCCTAAACATCAAAAACGAACAAATGAGTGCATGAAGTCTAATTATTTATAAAAACATTTTAAAAAATAAACAAATTGAAGCGATTTGGGAAGTCTACCTAGGTTTCGGCCTTGCAACCGAACTTGACCCCCTTTTTTGGACGTGGGGCCAGTTTGGTTCCAAAAAGGGGCTAAACAAGACATTTTTGAGGGCCAGATGTTATAATTTGTCTACAAAATGCGCGAAACTACAACTTTTTTGTTTTAGTGCAGTACATATTATATTAAATATATTGTCGTCCTATCTTATTTGTGAATAAGGCAGGGATCTGGGAATTGACCATCTTAAACAAAAAGTTAAAAAACTTGTTAATAATATAACCAAGTTTAGGTCAAGTATAGACTCTACATGGTTTTGTGATCTACAATCTATATGTGCCTTTGACTTTTAGATGTGACTGTAAGATCGGTTTACAGACAATAGTCTAAAAATTCATAGTAAAGTAAAATACTTACGTAATGAAAGCAATCCTTTCCGTCTCCAAATCAAGCGATTAGGTTATACTCTCTTGTCTTTACGTCTGTCGTCAGCCCTGTTTTGTCAGGTAGGGGCAGGGTGAACAAATAGCAATCTGAGCAGCTATTGTCGTACCGGTATGCCTAATGTTGTGCGCTTCCCTACTTCTTCTCGAAAAGTCGTGCTTTGAAATAAAATATCATTGGAGTCCCCAAGTTGCTGTCACGAGGTCTTCTTCATATAATTCTAGAAATTGTTACATGAAGCTTTGGAGGAACGAATTTACAGTGTGGTGAGGACTGTGAGGTGAGAAATGAAATAAAGTTGATTGCAATCCAAGTTTTTCTATCATGGTTGCTGATAAATTAAACAAAACGGGGATGTATTTACAGCTCTGTTTCACTCTCGGACTGCTTTTCATTTGCAGAAAAGACAGGAGGCATTTCCTCACTGCCTTCCTCACCACCTTTGTCCTTCTTTGGCGGGTACAAGATTTTGGAATTGTGGTTGGTTATCATTTCTTTTGAGGCGACAAAGTCATTGCAGCAATCCTCTGTTGCAGGTGGGACTTAATTCTGATTATTACTTCCAAACCCTCAACCCCCATCTTGTTGCGAGATTTGATCTTGGTGCTTGTGACTAGTGAGAAGATCCTCTCGATAACAGAATTGCTGCTTGATACTATGGGACATTTGAGGGCGTAAGCGCCTAAGCTTTCAAAACCTTTTGTCTTCATGACACCTCTACAAAATTGGATGCTGTCTGATGGTACACCAGTTTTCTTAAATGCATCAACTTCTGACCAATCAACAAGCGGGATCCGTATGTACTATGCTTCGGCGTCAGAGACGGGGGCTGATTTGAGAAGTTAAAGTGAAGCGTCTCTGTAACGATCCATTTTGGCCAACAAAAGGATGATTATCTGCCTTACAAAAATACGTACCAAAAAATACCCACGAGAAAACTTGGTTTTTCGTTGCCAGGCGCATGTTATGTAAAGCAGATTATTATGAGCATATTTGCTTTGCAATAATAACTTATTGACCTGAAAAAAAATCTTTTTGAAATAAAAAAGATGTTTATTGACAAAATAAGGTACGACTGACCCAGTCTATTTCAGATTGGGCCAAAAAAGGGCCAAAGGGCCAAACGAATTTCTGGGGCCAGCCATGATTGAAAAGTGCCCAAAAAATGCGATTTGGCCCCAAATCTTGACTTTTTAGAGCACCCGTCACGGCCTTAACACCAAGCGCACTCTGGTAGAACAAGGTAACGACAGGGTTGCCAGTTAGGTCTTTCAGAAGCCAAATAAAATTAGTCTTTTCTTATTTTGAAGCGTGGCGTCGGTAGCCTAGTGGTTTGGCTACCGGACTCGTAATCGTGAGATTGCGGGTTCGGGGGTTCGAGCCTCATCTCGATCCGACATTGTGTCCTTGGGAAAGCCACTTTACAAGAACTACCCACTTGGCTCGGTCCTATCGGAGACGGACGTTAAACTTGGAGGTCCCGCCCCTTAAATAACCTAATAATAGTGTTGATAGGGGCGTTAAAACACCATTTCACCATTTTTATTAATTTTGAAGTGATAAAAAGAAAAGTGTAATAAATGTGATAAAAACTGGAAGAGGCCAAAAAATATGTCACAAGAGGCCAAACCAAAAATTTTAAATCCAAGTCGTGGCCAAGCCAAATATTTGGTGGCCAAATGGCACGGGAAAGGGCCACATTTTTCGAATTTGGCTTCCATGAGGTCAAACTTGCAACCATACAGCTCAAGTTAGTGACTGTTGTCCCTTCAAATAATAATTAAGATATTATGGCATCAAACAAAATGGCAACTGAAGGAATTTTGAAAGTAAATCACTTTCATACAATATTAACAGTATTACAATAACCAACAATTTAGTTCATGTTGAAATTACCAATTGAGTTGTTTGAGGTTGACGGTTTCGAAAAGAAACACAAGTTCTGAGGCCTTTTCATTTCCTAAACGATTTCTCAGCTTTGATTGCACAAGTCCAAAAGATGAAAATATCCTCTCTACTCCCGCTGATGATGCCTTAGCTGTCAAAAGTGACTCAATGAAAG